GATCTCTTGACCTCGTGATCCACCCGCCTCGGCCTCCCAAAGTGCTGGGATTACAGGCGTGAGCCACCGCGTCCGGCCCCTAAGGTTCTTAAGTAGATAAATTTTGAGAAGGACAACATGTAAAAAGGATCTCTATGTGGCTTCCAGAAACCAGGCACAAGTATTTATTATCTCAGCTTAACTATATGGTTTTCTTCTTTCCTTGCCTTCATTCTTTTGCTGCCCATCAGAGCAGACAGCAACAGAGGCCATTTCATGCATGATTTCCATGTGCCTCAAAACATGGTCTGAAGAAAAAGTTACAGAAATAAATGTCCTTTTAGAGCTCTTGGTCCCTTTTTTCAGTTGTTGGGTGGTCTTTTCCCTTTGCCTCTGTCTTTAGAGACCAGTATGTCTAAAATCAAGCTCATCTTGTCCCAGCACCTCTTCCCAGATATTCTAACCTACATTATGCTGGCCTGTGGTGTAACACCTTCCAGTGATCTCTGAGTATTATCTACTTCTTCCTCTCCATCCCGACTCCTCTCTCCAAGAGATGACAGAAAGCGGGGTGATATATGAGAGGAAGGAGATATGGCAGGTGTTGGGGAGCAAACAGTTCTCCATCCAGGGAGAATGGGAGAGAAAGTGAAATGTTAAAAGATGTTCGTAATGTGACGTGATGTAACCCCACACTCCATAGCTATCAGAGGACTTTAGCAAGGAAGAATTTACCTTGCTTCTTGGTGTTTTGAATTAGATTTATATGGTTACAATCATTACTATTATTTATTTGGTGCAGTAATTTGAATATTGCAAAAAGGAGATGGCTCAGAAATATCCAGATGATAGGGGTCACCAAGGGACGAGCCACATTTCATGATTAAATAGTGTGCAAGGTAAGTTAAGGAAAAGCACAATAAACCAGCTTGTTTACTGACTTCATCAGTACTCATATGGCAGAATGAGCCACTCTGACCAACCTACCCATTGGAAACAATTAAATATTTTGGATAAAGTATTAAAAATATTCCTAAATGTATTGTTGGTCTGACATGAAAGCAAGATATACACAAGCCAGAAAGCTAATGAAAGTAGAAATATGCAACTGTAAGCAGGCAGTAAAACCAACTTTGGCATTGAAAGCATTTGTCGAGCCCAGTAAACTTGAGCTTCAGGTTTGGTTGACTGATGCATCATGGAAGAGAGAAGCTGAGTGCATTTGTGAGGTTCTCCAGAGAAATAGAAACAATAGGATATGTGTGTGTGTGTGTGTGTGTGTGTGTGTGTGTGTGTGCGCGCACGCGCGCGCGTGCCCGCATGCGCGCTTGTGTGTGTGTATCTTTGTCTGTAGACTGTATATACAGAGAGGGAGAGATTGACTTACTTAAGGACTTAGCTCATGCAATTACAAAGACTGGCAGGTTCTAAATCCACAGGGCAGGCAGGAAAGTTGGAGACCCAGAGAAGGCCTAATGTTGCAGCTTGAGTCTGAAGACAGTCTGGAAGCAGAATTCCCTCTTCCTTGCAGGACCTCAGTCTGTTTTCCTTAAAACCTTCAACTGATTGAATAAGGCCCACCCACATCATGGAGGATCATCTACTTACTGAAAGTATACTGATTTAAATAATAATCTCTTTTTGTTTTTTTGAGATGGAGTTTCGCTCTTGTCGCCCAGGCTGGAGTGCAATGGCGTTATCTCGGCTCACTGCAACCTCCACCTCCCTGGTTCAAGCGATTCTCCTGCCTCACCCTCCCAAGTAGCTGGGATTACAGGTGCCTGCCACCAAGCCAGGCTAATTTTTGTATTTTTTAGTAGAGCTGGGGTTTCAACGTGTTGGTCAGGCTGGTCTCAAACTCCTGACCTCAGGTGATCTGCATGCCTCGGCCTCCGAAAGTGTTGGGATTACAGGCGTGAGACACTGCATCTGGCCCAAACTTTTAAAAATCAAAACTAAGATAAATGAAATAAAACACTCAACAACTGAGTTTATCAGCAGATTAGACATAGCTGAGAGAGAATTAGTGAATTAGAAAAAATTATCCAGAATGCAGCACAGGAAGACAAAAATGCGATATATAGAAAAAGGTTTAAGTGACATTGAGGGAAAGGAGATTTAACTCCCACCTAAAAAGTGTAGAAGGAGAAGAAGGAGGGAATGGGGGCAGAATTAATATTTGAAAAGACAATGGCTGGAAAATTTCCAGAAATGAAAGATAATAATCCACAGATTCAAAAAAACCTAGCAATTTCTAAGCAAAAACAGAATACCCATTAAATTTTTTAGGGACAGCTATACACATATTTGTCTGTTTTTCTGGACTATTCAAAAAACAAGCTAAAATTCTATGGTAAAAGATTAGAAATAAATTCTATGTAAAATTTAGAATAGTGATCTTCTGATAGTGCTAGTGACCTTTAAAGGCGGGGGGAGGGAGGAGGAAGCAACATAACCTTCTAAGGTACTAGTAATATTCTATTTATTAGTTATATGCCCCTGGATTTTTAACATAACCTTTCTTCAGATTATAATGCTATTTTAAATGCATGTTGTATTTCATGGTGGAAAATTCGTTTAAAATATATTATTCAACAAGATTTGCTCAGAGGTTGTGGGTGTATTAATAAGGTGGCTTCTGGAATTTTTGCAAAAACAAAAGAGAAAGCTTTGAAGAGAAATAATATTTAGGCTGGGTGTGATGGCTCACCTATAATCCCAACACTTTGAGAGGCTGAGGTAGGTGGCTCACTTGAGGCCAGGAGCTCAAGACCAGCCTGGTCAACATGGTGAAACCTTGTCTCTACTAAAAAAAAATACAAAATTTATCTGGTCTCTGTGGCGCATGCCTGTAATTCCAGCTACTTGGGAGGTTAAGGCAGGAGAATCGCGTGAACCGAGGAGGCAGAGGTTGCAGTG